CTTGATAAAAATATTCTTTTTGTATATCTGTTACACCCAATTATTAAATTTTATGAAGTTTCGATAAATTAAAATTTCAGCCTCTCCATATTTATGTTAGTTTAAAACAGGACTCCTTGGAGAATTTAAATCATCAATTTGTTTTGTCAAACAGAAACACCATTTACTGAAAGTCTGCTCTGAATCGTAAAATAAATACACAATAAAACTATGAGATTATTTAATTAGAAAAGCTATTATTGCTTTTATAAATAAGATATATTAAGGAAACTATTGTCTTAAGAAATTTTTTTTCGATGAATAATGAATTTTTACAAGAATTGTTTTCCTTTTTTGTAGATTTTAATTAGAAAATTTATTAAATTTTAAATCTTTGAAAATTCTGTATTAATTTCAGTGGTTTTGATGATATTATTCTTATTATTATTTTAAAACTATATTTACTAATGATAAATGGAAAAACTTAATAAAAATCATAAAACACCAATATTTTTTAAATAATTGTGAATTTTTTATTAGTGTATAAACGTTTCGTTTTATGTAAGTACGGACGGCCATACATGACATTATTAGAAAATAAAATTGATAACTATAGTAAATTTAAACCTATAAGTTCTAAAATTCAATAAAACATTAAATCACGGAGAATATTTTCTTAAATTTTTAAGATTACCGAGTACTTTAAAATTAGATTTTAAAAAAAAGTGCTCACACCATTTTCTTCAATTATGTTTTACAGATCCGTAGAACATCTGGCACCTAACCTTTTTAAGCACGTCAACACAGCTACTGTCGGGTTAAAAGATGCATTTCTGAGATATTTTAAACTTAAATAATTGTTTCAAATCAGATTCATTATACCTTAAATAAACTAATATTCCTCAAAGTTTCAGAAAAGTATATTTTATTTTTAGAAATTTTTTTTAATAAAAAGAATCCCATTGCGATGAAAGGTGGCTAAAAAACGGGGGGCGCTAATCAGCCATTTTAGCCACAACAAAAAAGAAATTCTTTCCAGTCAATTTAAATTCGTTTTTGAAATACAGCACAGTATTTTGCTTATTGGAAATATTTATGTTAAACTATTGGCTTGAAATTAAAACTAAAAGAAAAGTTTCTAGAAGTCTTTTTCATTTTTAAAAATTCATTTGAGGCACCTGTTTAAAATTCTGTCACGGCAATCTTCCGAGCAGGCAGAATATCTGTTTATCGATCTATTGTACCAGGGACACAATGGATTATTGTTCGGTATGTTTACAAATATGACTTTTCAGAAAATATATACATTTATATACATACAAACATACCTGTCTATCTCAATCGGTTTAGCGCCAAGTTCGAATTCCAGTCGGGTTTGTTATAATCACTTACGCACAAATACCCTTGAGAAAGGCATGAATCCACATCTCCTTCACTCATTTTTGGACTAAATAGTAGGACTTATTTCTGGGAAAATCATTTTTATTCTCAAAAAATTGATAATGCAATATTCAATTGAAAAAGAATTATTCTTAAAGGCCAGGTTTCGACTTTTAAAAACACAAAAAGGTTTGATAAAGACGTAAAGCAACAAGCATTTATAAAGAGAATTATAAATATCGTTAGGCTATCACATTTTTTACTTTAAAGACAATCAAATATTCTTCAGACTTACTTTGAAAGTCAAGATAAACTATGGAAGAGGAATATTTAAAAGCGTTCTTAAATTTAAAAATTTTGAAAACCTAACGATATTTATTTATTTACTTCTGTTTGGAAATAAATGTTGCGAAATAAAAGCCATACATTTGCCTCGATAGTGTCCATCAGAGGACGAAACGCGTGGGTAAAATCTTTCCTCTTTTGTCTTTATTCATATACTGCATTCAAAATCATGGCGTTTCACTCGGACAATGAGAAAAACACAATATCTCGGTCGCCAACCAGGCTAATAATTTCGTATATCAGAAACGTCGTGTCATATGTGTATATCTGTGTCGACCTCAACTAAAAGTGTACAGGATAATGTCTGAATATAAAAAGTAAAATAAATCCGATATTTTGCAGATTTCTAACGTAATAGACTAAATTTAATGCATAATTCAATAAGTCTTTGTTATTTTAAACACAGTCAGTCATAATTCGTCTACGCTTTTCAAATTCAATTTTTAAACTGCACATCATGTTGCTTAATCAAATTGCCGTGATAACAGACCATGAATGCAGATAAAATTTTGCAACCGGCTCCTTTTTTTTATTTCCATATTTAAAAACACGTGTGAATGTTTTGTACAATGAAATGCTCTCAGAGTATTATTAAGTTTATCTTTCAAAATAACTTTAAATACGTTCATATAGTGATAAGACTTTTTCTTGGGAATTTATGTGTAACGCTCGACCGTCGTCTGAATATGCTGAAAGATTACTCATAACACATGCGCATCATTACAGTTATTATATGCACCTATGTGCATGGAAGTATTTCTGGATAGATAAACAAGACTCGCTCTCTAAACACCAATCTATTTATACATCAGCCTAGGTCACTCTTTTCATATCTATCTATCTATCTATCTATCTATCTATCTATCTATCTCAGTCTGTTCATATCAGATAGATATGAACAGACTGAGATAGATAGATAGATAGATAGATAGATAGATAGATAGATATCTATCTCAGTCTGTTCATATCTATCTATCTATCTATCTATCTCAGTCTGTTCATATCTATCTATCTATCTATCTATCTCAGTCTGTTCATATCTATCTATATATCTATCTCAGTCTGTTCATATCTATCTATATATCTATCTCAGCCTGTTCATATCTATCTATTTCAGCCTGTTCATATCTATCTGTCACAGCCTGTTCATATCTATCTATTTAGGTCTGTTCATATCTATCTCAGTCTGTTCATATATATGTATCTCAATCTCTTCATATCTATCTATCTATGTATCTTAGTCTCTTCATATCTATTTATGTCAGGGTCTCTCTCTCTCTCTCTGTGTGTGTGTGTGTGTGTGTGTGTGTGTGTGTTCATATCAGCTGTGACAGATAGTATTGTTTGGCTTGTAAGGATTGTCTGGCTTAAAAATCAATAGTCAAAATTCACTCTAACAGATATGTCGTATATTCCATATACATTCCATGGTGCTCTAATTTGATGCTACACAATCTTCTCTACCATAAATAGACATCCACCCACACTATGAATGCACAAGGATAATCAAAGTTTCATAAAAAAACTTACACATCGATATAAACACTTCATTGTTTGTAATATTTAATGAGTTACAATAGCAGATTATTATTATCATTTTATAGCGAATTCGACCCTCATAAATTGAGGTCAGATATCCTACCATATGTGCAATTAATCTAAGCTTAAACATGCGCATTGACTCGCAGGCTTTAACGTCTTCTATTCTCAGCAGGTAGAAACTAACTTTATTACAATATTTGTCCTGACCTGGCATCTCGGCCTCATCTACTTTCCCACCACCGTAACGTAGCTTTCCTCTGCCTTTTCTATAAATATTTTCAGGATAATCGTTCCGGTGAATTTTCCAGGCACTATAAGATCGGATGTGCAGGTGGTGTAATGGATAATGGCTCACAATTGTTAATTGGAGAGCCGGGTTCCATTTAGATAGATTCGTTATATTCACTCAAGCACGTACGCTTGGGGAAGGTATGACTCCGTCTTTTCACCTCACAGCTATGGGCCAATTAGTAAAACTTGCATCACTAAAACAATTATTTTGCAATATCTGTCTACATTTCTGAGATGAGATATTATATGCACTATTTACATTATTCGGACTATTGTCCTCATCTTTGTTGCCATATTTATCACAACGTTTCGGCCGTTGTACGCTCCGGCTTTCTTCAGGTGGTTGGAACGTTGAACTGAACCCTTTATTTCTCTCACTGGGGTAGACTGTTCTAGTTCCACGTGCCAGTTATCTCCTGGTAATTCACCTCGCCAAGTTCTCCACTGCCTTAACCGGGTATTGAACTCACAACTCTTTGGGTCCTGTCACTGGATCTAAGCAACACCTTTATCCACTGTGCCATGTGTCCTTGTTTTCCAAAAAAATATGAATAAATAAATAAAACTGCGTACAAAATATTTAGATTTCAGCATTAAATAACCCATAGAGATTGATATGCTACTTAACAAAATCAACCAATCAAGCGACAGGAATATATTCTTTCTTAGAACTTAAATAGATCTAAAATTTCACCGTAATTAAAATTGGTTTATGTTGATTGTGTTCTTTGTGAAATAACGCTAAGCACAAAGATACATGTTATATATTTAAAAGTAAATTTAAGCAAACATTTAAAAAAGTATATATCAAAGTTCAATCTTCTATAATCAAATTGAAACGATTTCTGGAAATGGCTGAAATCATTTCACGAATGAGAGGATTTTTTATAAGGTTTATTACAGGTCATAACAGTATTAAGCTACCGTCATGTGTTTCCGGTGTAAATTGTCCACAAAAAAGAAAGAATATTCTTTTTATATTTTAAGATTTAGAGGATGAGGATATAATAAACAGTTCCTGATACAAGTCCTACTAATTAACCCATACCTTGGGGGAGAATAGGTAGATTCATACCTTTCCTAAAGTTAGTTGTGCATAAGTGAATATAAGGATCCCGAAAGGAAATGGAACTCGGCTCTCCAATTTTCAATTCCGAGTAGTTATCCATTACACCATCCGCACATCCGAGCTTACAACACCCGGTATTCCCAAGCTGTTACCCATCTAGGTTGACGTTGCTTAACTTCGATGATCTTACGAGAATCCATCTAGGTTGACGTTGCTTAACTTCGATGATCTTACGAGAATCGGCGTTTCAACGTGACATGGCCGTACGCCAAATTAGAATGCATACAGCACCTGGTATTCCAGGTACTGTCTAGGCTCGACGTTGCTTAACTTCGGTTCTCGTACGATCACCGATATTTCAACGTGATATGTCCGTAAGGCAAATTAGAGTACATTCAGTACCTGGTATTCCCAAGCGGTTACCCATCTAGGTACTGACCAGGCTTGACGTTGCTTAACTTCTGTGATCGTACGAGAACCGGTGTTTCTACGTGACATGGCCGTAAGCATTTACGGTGAAATCGATCGTAAATAATACATGAATAAGTATTTATACAATTCAAAGTTTTAATTGAGCTTAGAAGCAAAACAGCACAAGATAAAATGTCGTGAGTGAAGGGGACTAAATAATTTCTTATGTTTCAAATATTCTTTTGATTCTCTAATAAAAAGATTAGATTTAGTTTCATCCTCTTACTTTATGATTTCTTTTCCATTTTAAACACACATTTTTTTACTGTTCACTTGGCCTGGTTTTCTGGTATTAGACCAGTTTTTCGCGCATTTTTCGAAACTATCTTCTAACTCCGAAATAGAGGTTATTTATAAAAAAAAAAAAAGAGAACGAAGTCTTATTTACTTGAAAATTAATGGCAGCAATGATTTTCGACAAATAATAAAACTTAATTCAATAGCATTATCAGAAATTGAGTCTTCAGAGGAGATATAACCCTGAGTACATAATTATAAAACCCCTAACATTTATATTCAAATAAATACTCATAGAAAAATGAGAAACAGCAAAAGGTGAAAAGAATAACATGAGTATTATTTATTATCTGGTTGTATTATTGTGTTCGAGACACGAGAAAGATTAATAATGAGTAAAATTGGGAATCTGGGGTCAAATGGAGATCAAATATGGATCAGAATCTAACAGAAAGATAAAATAGACATAACGGAAAGGTCATCAGAATAATTACCATGAAAGTATTTTAAAAAAAACTCGAAACAAAACGTTTTCCAAGTTTTTTTTAAGAAACAATCATAATTATATAAAATATAATATATATTAATATAGATTATCGATTAATATTAATACAAATCGAAGGCTAATCCATCTCTAATCTCATTGCAAAGTGTCTTAGAAATTGGTTTGAAAATTTAATTGATTCAGAATTCAAATATTTAAGCCTTACTTAGTGAAAATGTTTGATCTAGTAAGAATACATTTTCGTGTCATACTGGGCAAAAGTTAAAATTGAAGTTAATTCGAGGTTCATTGAAAGAAAATCAAAGAGAAATATGTCCAGTTTCTGAGGGTCTAATCCATGCTAAATAAATGGTTATATCAACGAAGATGAGCAGACTAAAGCTTCTGAAACACCATTTAAAAAAAAAAAAAACTTATTCATGACTGACTCTAAATAAAATTGTCACGAAAATCTTAACTCGATCAATGTCGAGCATCTCGTTAATACACACACACACACACACACACACACACACACACACACACACACACACATAAACGAAAAGTCACAGAAGAGCTTTAGGCTAAAATACAACCTCAAATGTTCGTATTATCACGCCTGAGCACGAATGAATTCACGAAAACTGTACTTGACTCTTATGAAGTGCTAAGCTGCACGAAGCTTCCTCTCAGAAAAGTTTCTTCGCAATCTGTCAACAAAGCCGTCAAAATGCTTTATAATGAACTTCACCCAGTGCAATACTCGAGAGACGCTGTTAAAATGATGATGATGATGATGACTGTGGTTAGGAAATTGTAGGAAGGAAAATAAGATAAAAACTGAACCTCAATTTGAAGAAATTAAGACTGCAGTCTCTAGGGAAGCACTCATGCGGGAATCTGAGTAGCAGTTCTTGTGAAAAACCCGAGTGGAACATTCTTTTTTACATTTAGAACAACGGAGGAAATAGGGATTGTTTTTATACAAAATTCCACCCAATATAAGACTCGGAGCCACTCAAAGTAGAATGTTATTGTTAAAATGTTTACAATTTTTAAAGTATGCAAAATGATCGAAAGAGAAACTGGTAGATTATGAGGATAGATGACGATTGAATTTTGATTTGAAGTGATTAAGGTTTTTAGTATTCAGGGAAGTATACACGCGGGAGTCTGTTCTACACAATAATAGTTCTTGGGGAAAAAAGTTAATGTGAAATACGGGGGAAATGAGTGTGATTCGGCTCCATGGAAGCAGCATGGGGTGTCCTAGATGTAAAGATCTGAACTGATAAGACTGAAGAATGGAAGTCATCTGGACATTTGATTTAGTAAATAAGAACTGAACGCCAGTTCACAACCGTACTTCTCGCGTGTTTCTGAGATGTACATGTAAAAGAACGATTACAACATTTATTCTACGTCTTATATGGTAATGGTAACTGTAAAATCAACCGTAAAAGAAACATTGCACGTTTATTGATTGAACAGTCATCGTTACTATCGGTTGAAATTTCTAAAAACACTTTTTGAGGAACTCGCAATACCCAGCAAGAACCTCTACTGGCAGCAAACAGCCTGCATACGGATAGAAAATGAGTTCAGCCTATATACAAAAATAGAAAGGGGCATAAGGCAAGGATGTGTCTTCTCACCGGACTTATTCAACCTATACAGCGAGGCTATTCTGAGTGAATTAGAAACCCTACCAGGATTTATTATTGACGGCCACAATCTTAACATAAGATATGTATATGGCAAGGTTGTTAGCAGACACGGAAAGAAAACTACAAAAGCCCCTACGAAAGTTAGTGAAATAAAGCGAAAGAAAGAATTAAACGCCAAATACTACAATACAGAATGCATTGTTATTAGCAAAAGGATGAGAACAAAGAGCAAATTGCAAATCGAAGAATACCAGAATCTATGTAACGCGCAAATTTAAATATCTGAGAAAATGTTTTAACAGAGGGACGGAAAGAGTGAATACTGAAACCCGACAATGTGTTGGGATAGCCAAAGATGCTTTCCAAAAGCTAAGAAAAGTAATAGGAAATACGTGATATATGTCCTCTTGATGAAGAAGAGACACTTAAAGCAACAGAAAGATGCTGAGGATACCATGAGCCGAACATGTGAGCAACGATGAAGTTTTAGAAAAAAATGAAAATAAAAAGGAAACTTATACTTAACATCAGGAAGAAACAGTTTCTGGGGCGGATAATAAGGAAGGACGACTTGGAGAATTTGATTCTCACGGAACATATTGAAACCAAGAGGGATAGAGGAAAACAATGCATAACCTACTTAGTGAGCTTGAGTAAATTTGATGTCGGAACAAGGTTTAGGAGAGATAAAAAAAAGACATAATTTATTAAGAGCTACAAAAGAGAGGAAATTGTGGAGAGACATGATCGCCTATGCCCTGAATGGAAACGGTACATAAATAAGAAGATCTGTTAGGACAGATTGAAGACAAGAGGGATAGAGGAAAACAACGCATAACCTACTTAGTGAGCTTGAGTAAATGGATGTCAGAACAAGGTTTAGGAGAGATAAGAAAAAGACATAATTTATTAAGAGCTACAGAGGAGAAGAAATTGTGGAGAGCCATGATCGCCTATGCCCTGAATGGAAATAATACATAAAGAAGAAGATCTGTTAGGACAGATTGAAGACAAGAGGGATAGAGGAAAACAACGCATAACCTACTTAGTGAGCTTGGTAAATGGATGTCGGAACAAGGTTTAGGAGAGATAAGAAAAAGACATAATTTATTAAGAGCTACAGAGGAGAAGAAATTGTGGAGAGCCATGATCGCCTAGGCCCTGAATGGAAACGGTACATAAAGAAGAAGATCTGTTAGGACAGATTGAAGGCAAAAGGGATAGAGGAAAACAACGCATAACCTACTTAGTGAGCTTGAGTAAATGGATGTCGGAACAGGATTTAGCAGATATAACAGGAATACAAAATTTATTACAAGGGACAGGTAGTTGTGGAGAGCCATGATCGCCTACATCCTGAAGGGACGCAGCACATAAAGAAGAAGAAATCTCACTTTTACCGTCTTTTTTACTATTGATATGGGTTTCCTTCCAAAATGTATCGCTTAGTTTCCCCTCATAGTTACCCATTTTAGTTGGTGCTACTGTTAGAAACTTTCAACTGATATGTTTATTTATTTGGCAAATTTGTTTATACTATTTGACAAAGCTCTTTCTGATTATGTAGCGCCAGTCTATAGTTTGTGATGAATTATTGTCTCTTTAAAACCTTGAGGTTTCATTTGCTTCAAGCCATTTTTAACCATTGATCTGAGAAAATTGTTATCTATAAATAATAGTTTAGATATAAAGTTTATGTGCACGAATCTATTCATGTAGAGAAAAGGTTTGGAACGAAACAAAATCACTCCTTATGTTTCAAAGAGATTGTTTTCTTTTGGATAATAAACTTGAGGGACAAAGAGGTACAACGAAAACGTTAATAGTGTTAAATCTGCACAAAACTTAAGATATACATAGATTATAATTATTTTATTTACCAGTTTACAATCAGCCGGGTAGTATAAAAGCTATCGGCGCAAAATGTGGAATCGATGAGTCGAGTTCAAAATCCAACCGAGAGAGTTGCATTCACTTTCACACGGATTCTCTTTTGAAAGATATAACTTGATCTTTATCCATCTCATCAATGAAACAGGAAGGTATGAATTCATCTTGACTGGATTCGCAAGTTTTGGGTTTGTGAATGTTTACCCTGTACAAGGACCCAAGTGCCACTCTAGAAGGGTAAAACACATGTGGGAAAAAATAGTTAACCTTATGCATGAGCAGATTAAGATTGTAGTGAATGGAGTAACATGCTGTTGTGGGTCGGTTCCAGAAAATATCGGCACATGAGAAGAAATTGATCTATAAAACTTACGCCTTACTAATTGCAATACGACGGCAATGAAGATGGTTCTCCTTAGAGGACGCGTCGTAGTCGGTCTTGTTGTACGGGTTAGAATTCGTCGAACTTTGGTACGTAGCTCGTCTCAACATTTTCCAAGGAACTAGTAATAGAGCATCCAGATGTTAGCAATGTTTCGTTGGTGGGAAAAGGGTCGTAAAGTGGAAAATAATTGATCACCCATAAGGCCGCGTAAATGCTTTGGGACTGGGAATACTGGGCAGCTCCAGTCCAGGTAGCAGTACTCTATTTTCGACTTGATCCGCCTCTTGTAAAGGTAGAGCATAGCAGGATGACTCAGGTACTTGCTGGAGCGCTACAAGGAAACCGACCATTTTTCCAGCATCATGAGCATAT